GCAATCGCGTGGAGCGTGTTTTAGGGAACAAAGTAATTTTTTTCAAATCTGGTAATCTATCCCTTATCTATCTTGACGAGCTTTCAATTTACAAATGAACCGAACGGTGAAATATCAAGGGGCGTTTTCCAGAATCGTGGGGTTTGCGGGCAAGCGTTTCCTGTTCTCCCCTCCCCCTCCCCCTTTTTTTTTTTTTTTGCTCCCGCTCTAACTTTCGCGCTCTAACTCGACTGGAAACGTTTGCTACGCAGGCTAGCAGGGCAGTAGCGTGACTAAACCTGTCAGATTTTTAACTTGTCTTCGATAGCCAATCACCAAGCGACAAAAGTTATCGACAATAACATTGCGCTAGTTTGAAAAAGTCATAAATTTTGTTGTGTTTTTCTTCATTTCTACAGGCAAATTTGACTTTTTCGAGCTTTTGTTACTGTAAAAAACAAATTGACGCCAGTTTTTTGTGTGTCTGTCCTCTTGTTGATGATAAAATGACGCCACAACATTGTTAAAATTGTTGTGGATCCACGACCGCACCCCACTTTCACAATGTTGTGACGTCACTTTATCATCAATAATAGGACAGACACATAAAAAACTGGCGTCAGTTTGTTAAGTAGATTAATTGCATTTACATTCCTTGGGAACTTGTGTCTTTTCTTTTTTCCGCCATCCATAAGCAGTGATAGCTATAAGAAAATAATTCCAACCTCCAACAATCCGTCCCCGTTGAACATTTTTTGACAATTCTATTATGGAATTTTTGAAACCTCACAGCAGAAGTCTCTTTTGCTAAACTTCCGTAGCGAGCGACGAGAGGCCGGCTGTATTTGCAGGCTAGAAACTTTGTATAGTACGAACGGTGATGATTGCAAAGGGTGGATCGAAATGAACGTGAATAATATATTAAAATTGTAATAATTATGGAAACCAGTGTGTGGGACTGATGTTTCAGTGATCGTTGTCTCATCGATCGCTGGAATGGTTTTTGAGTTGTTGCATTCTCTACGATGGCAGCGGCACACCCAGTTATCAGACGAAACCTGGCGTATTCTTTAAGCTTGGTTCAATTGTCGTAGGCTTCTTTGTGCTGTTTCTGTTTCTTAATTTTCAAAGTGCATTTGAAATATACATGTAGGCCCAAATAGTAGGGATCTTAAGCAAGCGCGACATCGAAGACGACAACTGCAACGTGAAAAAAACAAAAAGAAAAAAAAAACGTTGGTTTAATGACAACAGCTCTGAATGGCATGCATTACGCTTTTTAGTACACTTCTTTGGCGTCCACTGCACGACTTCTACGCGAATCCTCCTTATACGATTTTATGGAGGACTTGTACGCGAATCCTCCTTATGCGACTTTCATGGAGGACTTGAACATACGACAACGATATTGCTTTCTCTTTTTGAAGCTGGATAAAGGCCCCTAGGAATTCAACCCCAGGAGAAATCGACCACATTTGACAAATCAAGCGGGTCCAAATAGACGCAAATTTATTTTCTTAGTGACGTTTTCAAAACCGTCCTCGTCGTCGTAGCTATAATTTCCATAGTATTCTTATCACCCAAACATTTCAAATCGCTAATTAAACGGTAATTAACTGACTGGAAATGTGGTCGGTGCTATGGTATTTTATCCTGACATAATGCAAACTATAATTTTGAAGACAACTATTATTTTGAATCATTGATAAACGAATTTTTAAAAAAGCTGTAAAGAAAGTCGCGTTCTGTGAAAAGTGTGAACCCTAGGAGACATTTCATAAGTACTGAGGTGGAACATGACCGTCCGGGTGATCGTAGTCCTGAAGAAGGGTCTTGTTGAAACAGTCCGGTAGTCATCACCAGTTGATGGTACTAAAGTTGCCTTTTTTTTAATGTCGACCCATTTCTCACTTTTTTTAATTAAATAAAACACGCCATCTCGTATTTGTTATCCAAACAAAACTCAATGCTACCTTTAATTCTCAGGAAAATATATTGGAAAGTATGAAGAAATTAAGGGATGAAAAGGAAGAAGTAACAAAAAGTCTTCGGAACTTTGCCGAAACGTGCAAGTAAGTCCTATTCTTGTCCAAGAATGATATAGATAATATAGTGATTTACCCGGGCCGAAAGCCCACAATAAAGAATGTCTCTTGGAGGGAGAAGGGGACTTATCTAACAACAACAACAACGAGAATGGGACACTTGTCGGAATTTTCAATAGAAATTCTCAACAGTTAATTACTATAGTCTCTTTTTAGAAGATGATTTTAATCGATTTTCACTCTTTCGAATTATCAATTCTGGAGCCGCAAATTCTGACAATGTCTGGCAGTGATACAGAGATATGCTAAGTGGCCCCTAAACGATGCTTTCATTTTTGGCTAAGGCTTCCTACCAACTATCCGCGGTCGTTAAATTTTATCCCGGTACGCAAGAACCCAATTCATTAACTGTCTTCCAACAAAAACTTTATTTGCAAACAAGGTGGGATGCCTCTGTACAAATTTATAAACTGCGTATCACCAGTTCAAACGCTTATGAGCCCTTTAGGCATACACGCGCTCTTTAATTGTCGAAGAGTTTGTCCTCGTTTGATTATTTTAATTCTTTTTTTTGTTTTCATTAAAGGGTTACAATTTAATTGTGAACCAGCCCGCGTAGAAGGCGCTTGGAAGTAGTGGAAGCAAGAAAGACCGGGCGCACGAGAGGGAGACACGCGAGGGGAGAGGGAGTGCCTGCCCGTAAGGCGCACGTCGCGTGTCTACCTCTCGCGCGCCCGTTCTTTCTTGTGCCCACTACTTCCAAGCGCCTGCTGCGCTTTCTAATTGCGAACACGATAATAGGCCATTTCCGAGTTGCCCCGGGCCTCTGTTTCAAAACGAGGGTGGGTGCTCAGCCTTTGATATGGAAATCAGTTTTCATTCTCAAGCAAATATAACTCATTTTCAATTTTGAAAGTGAGGGTTTTTGGAACTCGGAAGTGGCCTATTGATTTAGCCGCCAGTAGGCAGTGTTTCAATTGCGCGATCACATATAGATGTCTAATAGGATTTAGGACTATAATAAATTGTTTAGTTATTGTTATTATAGTTATTATAACATTATAACAATAATAATCATTAATATCATTATAAATTAATAATAATAAAAAACAATAAAAGTGCCTCTGATTGGTCCATTCAATTTTGCTCGAGAGCGGGTGAACCTGCAGCGTGTCTGGAGTGTGAGCGGGTCTTCCCCTAGATATGTTGACCGACACGACCGGCCGATTCTTGATTTCAGCGATTCCAAAACAACATTTGCACGACTAATTAGGCAGAATTACTGGATTTTCCAATTTTCAAATAAAATAGCTTAGCTACATATCGAAAATTGAACCAGAAAAAGACTTAAATGTGAAAAAATAAAATAAAAATACACCGACATCTTTGCCAGCTATAATTACTGACTTTTCTTTGACTTCCACGTTATCGTATTCACACGAAGTAGCCGCGTATGAATGAAAACTTGAGCTTCTTGTCGTAAATTGCCCAAAGACAGACTTGCAAGAAAAAGAAAACAGAAAAAGTAAATCGTTCCCTAAAGTGATTACAATGGCACTAGATATTTATACTACTGTTGTCTTCTTTTCCCACGATATCGCATTTCAAAGAAGCTTCGTTGAAGTGTTAATGTTCATGAACAAACATATAAAAGAACACTTAATTTATATTTTGGAAAGTTTTATTGGAATTTCGATACGTTTATTTTAACAAGCCATTCAGGTTTCACTTCCCACCTCGTGAAGTAGTCCACAGACATATTTAATCAACTGTCAAGTATATGCAAACTTCAAGTTTCAAATCCGTGATTGGGAACGTTTAACGGTAATTTCTTAGCAGCTATTACAAGAGCCTGGATACCTGAAAATTCTTCAAGGCCGTTAACTGAATTTCTTCAGTCCTAATTAATACCTAAGCAGCACAAGACTTTCGCGGTGAATTAGATGTAAAGGAAGCAAAAAGTTTTGGTTGGATCAAAGAGCATGCGCCGTGAGGCCCAAATAGCCAGATTTTGGCTATGGATGGTTTTGTCATCCACATGTTTTACAATGAATTTATATTTTTCAACTAACTCCTACGCTTTACGTTTTGAGAATTTCATGTATGCATATTCCGAGGAACTATAATTACCCCACTGCAGTTTTTTTTTTTGTGTGTGTGTTTAGGTTTATACAAGATGTTAATAAAGTTGTTCGTTATTATTATTATTGTTTAAAATAATAATAATAATAATAATAATAATCATGATGATGATAATAATTTTATAATAATAGCAGTGCTAATTTTATTGATAACAATGCTAACTATCAAAATCCTATTTACAATTGATTCGCTTAAAAGACTATTCGTGCAAAACACTATTTGCAATTACTTTCGATTAAAGAAACACTTAATTTTGATTCTTCTTCTTCTTCTTCTTATTGTTATTATTTTAATAATAATCGAACATATTATATTGATAACAATGCTTTTCCTATTTATAATCAATTCACCTATAAGAAAACTATTTTTACTATTTACAATTCCTTTCGTTTAAAAAAAGCACTTAGTTTTGATTAGTTTTCGATTAACATATGGCCGTGTTAACGTGGCCGCGAAGGGAACCGTGAAGGGAACTCGGCGCAAAATGAATAGCAAGATTCAATGGACAGATAAAATGAACGATGATTTATTGGAATGCAAACAGAAGGCTCTGGATTTGGCTAAGTCAAGCAACCAACCGCGACTCGACTCGGGAAGGAAAAAAGGCCACATGGCTGTGATGAAAGATCTATGGGAATCAATGGGATATTACGAGCTCGGTTTGTCAAGTCAGAATCTTCGCGACCAAGCTCAGAGGCTCGAGAAGATGCAAGGTAGGAAAGGGGAGGTCGTACGCAACAATATTGGACTTGAAAGCACGGGGAATAGAATGGATAGATCGAAAAGTTCACTAAATAGTAACAGCCATTATTTAGAAGCAGAAGCAGATTGCAT